ACAAATTTGCTCAAACTCTGGTTTTACTCTTCACATATTCCTCATGTATCTTTGATTATTACTTCTGAATCTGCACTGAATTTACACTGAATTCTTATAGCACATTTTCAGACTGGTAAGTAAGGAGAGAATCTGGCTTTCAGCTTTATGCAGCGTATTATGAATATATACATTATATAGCAAAGTGGAGTTAGTTTGAATACAGGGCTACAGTATTTGATAAAATCATTTGTGCTTTTGGTTTGCACATGAAATGCATCTGTTTTCATTTATGAATATTGTTTTTATTTTTTTTCCCTTTGAACTTCTTTGTTTTATTCCATGCTGTTTGTATTCATGCCTCGCTTCATGCAAAAATGAAGGGCTGCCATCTGTGGCTAATCTGCATTGTGACAGAATTGCTGGACTTAATATGGCACCTGGTTTGGCTTTGACAAGAACCAACACAAACATAAGTCATACCCCGTGATCCTACCAGAATGAGCCATACTTGGGCTGTTGTTTTCTTGTGTTTGTCAGTCTTCCTTTCCTTAATATACCTAATTTCTGCATGTGTTTCAATCATGACAAATTATTTTGTCTGAACATAGGCTTTGCATGAAAAGTATTTTGTTCAAGATTAAGTCTGTGAATGCTGGGAGTCATCTATTGCAGATGAGTCATGTACACCCCATGTTTTTCACACTCTTTCATTCACTGGCAATTTAAGGAATACTGTTACTCAGAACATTGAATTAATATTTAACATGTTCCAGGAAAGGTAAGATGGGGGAAAACGCTTGGGAGAAAATGCTGAGGAAATAAATTATTTTTAGTCTATGAAATTTGGTAGTAAAGAGAAGCTATGTAAACTTGGCTGATTGAGGCATCGTCTGGTAGTTGATATATTGGATGTGCAATAAGGAAGTTACCTGTCAGCAGGGCCTTTGACTGCCTTCAGTCTGTGGGCTTGGATTCATCACCTGGAGATGAAGATTGTAATGTTTTGCTAGGCTTATAAGAATATAAAGAATTTACTTTCTATAGAGAGCTTTGAGGGTTATGAATGCAGTGCCGATGGTTTTACTTTCTCTTATCTAATTACTTAAAAGCAGCTGTTATTATAAATAAGTCCCAAATTTCCAGCGTCCAAATACTTTCTCTCTCAAAAACACAGTACACATGGAGTTTTTGCATGATTGCCACAGAAACAAGAAGATACCATAGTTCAGCACTTAGATTTGAGAATGAATGCCAGGAAATAGAACAGGTCTATGATGGTCAAAAAAGCAGAAGGCCCAAGTGAGCTCTGTTCTGCCCACTTCCAGACTTCAATATTAACCTTTTCCTCAGTTAAATGTATCCTTTTGTTCCTAAAAATAATTTTCAAAGGCTTCATCTTTTTACATGTATCTGCAACGTAGGAGTCCATTTATAAAAGCATATGGCTAAAGTTTTGCAAAGAACTTTATGAGTTTTGTTACTAATTTGGTGATAGGGCAGGTTTTTGTTCCTGAGAATCTCTTGCTTTTGCCTTCTGTGGTAGCAATGTGTTGAGAGGAGTGAATATTGGTTCAGTGGCAGTCCCACCACAAGTAATGTGTGTGGAAGCTTGGCTTTTGATCTGCTGTATACAAAGATAATAGCGAAGACAATGACATTTTTCCACTGGCTAGATTGTATATCTTAAATGAGGTAACTGTGCTGATGTGAGTAAGCCCGAGAGCTGATTTGTAGGACCCAGCTATATTTGAGGTGTGGTTTTCCTTTTGTTCAAGCTAATGTGCAAGTCAAGAACTAGGGCTTAACACAGCTTTTGGGAGTTAGGTTCTGTAAAGATATTTAACTCAGTAAATATCCTGAGACTGGGACATTTCAGATCCATACCAAAGAGGAGAAACAGAAACAAACAAACAGATACTACCTACTGAAATGTCAAAGGAGGTGTTGAGGCCAGTGTATTTGTTTTGGTGGGCTGCCTGCTAGGGAATCCATAATGTGCATTTACTCTCTCATGCTTGTGTGGGGAAGGAACTTTGTGAGGTGGAGAAGAGCACCCTGGTTAAGGAATAGGAGTATCAAACCAAATTAAAATGAAATGTTTGGATGGGTCTGTATTTTTCTCTTCTAATTAGAAATGTTAATGTGAAGGAAGCCATGAAATTTTCATCCGAATATAGGTTGTATTACCCAGGCTTAATTTCTACCCACATCCATAACATAGTGCTTCCTATTGCTGAGACTGCTGCTTCCAACTGTCAAATCTGCCAGTAATAAAAATGAGGCATGGGGCTTGGTACTAACTGTTACGGCCTTTTGGGGGTATCAGCTCAAGCTCTGTGCTGGGACAGGCACCCCTTGATGCTGATGCTGCTGCAGGAGGTGGTGAAAGCAGCAAAGGAATGGGTGCAGAGGTGGTGCCAGCCAGACTGGCAGTGATCTAGGAGCGAGAGCTGAAGAGGCCATGGTATGAGGAGGAGAAAGGCTGGTAGGGCAGCAGGACTCTGAGGGTCTGGAGTGCCATATGTCTTGTCTCTTTAAAAACAAGGGTCAAAAGATGAAAAGTTGAGAGTTTATGGTGAGAGGTAGCTTGGAAGTTGAATTGAATGATCAGCACTTGGTGGTGCTGTGGTTGGAACACTTGTTTGAAAATTAAACTGACAAAGTCTTTTCAGACCCATTTAGCAATAACTGGAGAGTGTGTGATGCTGTCCCTCAGCATGCTGCATGGCTGTGTGCTTCACAGGGTGCCTCAGCTGTCTGACGCGAAGTAGTGCAGACCCTGAAATCATAGCCCTACAAGCCACAGGAGACCTGATGCATTGTGTAATGGCAAAAAAAATGCTCAGAAATACAATTCTCTAGCAATATTTTACTGCAATTCTTATTCTCATAAAATTCTTAAAATAGAGGCCTAAATAAATTCCAAAACAGGAAAATATTTGTACCAGAGTTGTTACTATACTGTATGAGCTGCTGTTAACTTACTTTGCAGAATCATACCGCCATAATCAAGCGCTAAATCTGTTGATTTTCTGTTTGCAGTAGTTGTGCCATAAGCATTTGATTGTTTAATTGAAAAATAATAATTTTTAGCTCTTGCACACTGCCATTCATTGGTAGACCTCAAAACTCAGCTTATTCAAGAGATTTATGCCTCTATTTGCTTTCCAGATGAGAAAAGTTGAGTCCCAGAAATGTGAAATGACACATTTCAGTTCTGTCTGCAGTCAGTAGCTGGATCAGGGCTAGAAGCAGATCTCCTGAGATGCAAGCCAATGTCTTACTCAGTATGCGATACTAGACGGATACGGATTAGCTTACTAGTGACTAATTGGAATCATAAAGATGAAGAAAGAAAATCTCTGCCTGTAATGTGGTTGTATTCTTTCTGCTTATCAGTGGTGCTGCCCATAGTCAATCGGATTCAGAAACGAAAGTGCAGTGAAGGATAAGCTAACCCTGAAAAAATGATCCCGTTTGTGTTTTGCCTCATTGAACCTGAAGTAATACAAAGTGTTTCCTTGTTGTTTTCCCAGAAACACCAAAAGCCTGAGAGTGCTTCCTTCTTCTTGTGCAGGTTCTAGACTGATAAACTCAGGTCCAATCAGAAAAGTGAGTGCTGGGCAAGAAGGCTCTTTCTTTTGGTGGTCCTGCCCTCAGAGCTCCAGTGTAGGGTCTGCCTCACTGTGGTGCCTTTTTGGTGCAGGTAGACCACAAAGCCAAACCGTACTAAATGGTTTACTGTGCTCCATCTGCCAGCTTACAAAGTAATTTGGGAATTAATAAGACTGTCCTGCTTGATCTGATTGTTTTTTGGGGTTTTTTTGTGTTTTGTTTTTTTTTTAATCTGAATTTTAAAATACGTTTTTCTAATTGAAGTTTCTGTAGCTTGAAATTTGTAAGATCTTGCAAAATCTTACACTTGTCAAAAAGTTTTATTTGTGTGGAAGGGTGATTTCTTTTTAAGGCAGCAAAGAAGTGGTGGGTAAAAAGGACTTTGTTGAGAAGCAGAAAGCTTTTATATACATCTGTTTACTCTTAGTGACCTGCCTATTTGTTTTCTTACTACTGTTCTTTGTCTCACCTTCTCATCTTCAAGGGCTCTCTCTTTTGCATTAATGGACTGTAGTCACTTTCTTCCCCATTTCCTTTAATGAAGAAGGACGCTGAAGAAGGCAATGAAAATGATCTGTGATTTCACTGAGCACTCCAGTACAAGATGATAGGTTTTGACTGGGAAAGCAGTTTGCTTAAACAGAAGTTAACTTTTTATGTTCATCAAAAAGGCTAAGGAAAATTAATACAAATAAATAAGGGGAAAATAGTTGAGATATGATACTTTGAAACGTATTTCTATTATGTAAAATAAACTATGGTTTGAGAACTGCTGTCGAGACAGGTTTTTATGTGTATGACCTGTTAATTGTCTATTGTGTACAAGTCATTCATTGAGTTAAACATAATATGCTTTCCAATGTGTGTATAAGCTTATTTCACATCTAAGAGAGCAGTTCCTTGTATTACAAAGGATACCCATGAGGTAGTGTGTTCAAGAATATGTCAGCTCGTGTAATTCAATATTCTCTATGGTATTTCATGCTTTTTCTTTCCTAAATCCTGCAGTTTTAAATCTGACAATAGACATTGATTATATAGCTCCCATTGAAAGAGACTAGGTTAGAAGAGAAGACCAGTTTTACAGGCATAAGTGGTATGAGAGGTTTTTTAGAAAGTGAGTAGGAACATCAACACAAAGAGATGACACTGAGTATTTTGCAAATATGATATGTAGTTGGTATCAGAATGCATGAAATGAAGCGCTTTTGTACCAGTATTGCTGCTTCTTGGCTCACTTACAATTAGCTCTAGAAAAATAATATTACTGAATCAGACAACTTTTATATGGAACTTTTATAAGGTGTGATATTCTTAAGTTTTGATTTGTTCAGCAGTGGTACCTGCATATGCTCTGCGTCACACTGCGTCAGAAAGGAAATATCCAGGCTTACATTGAACTTATCCTAGGCAGAACCACTGAGAAATAGTATGCTATGCCGTATTGGTTTTATCCATACTGGAATATATAATCTTTTCTCTACATATTAATAGTTATATATGGGGTATATATTAGTAGTAACAGGTACTCTGATAACATTATTGTTGAAACAAAGAATTTTAGCAAATAACGGTTGCAGTGATACATGCTAGGTCTCCAGTGAAATTCCTGAAACTTTAAGATATGAAAATTTTTGAAGTCAATAAATGTGTTTATCAATTTCTTGTCCTGCCTCAGTTTACTCAGCGGGCTTCAGATCATAGTTTCTACTCACTTTTTTCCTTTTACTTTTTTTTTAATGCTTCAAGTGTAGGTAATTTTTAGAGTATGACAGTAAAGATAACATAACCAGGTCATAACACTGCAAGATAAAGAGAGATAAGCACTGAAGTCCTCTCTTTCTTTAGCTGTGTTTCTATTTAGCAATATAAGTTTTATGGGAAAAAACCTGCAGAACCTCAGTGAAAGAATTCTCTCTAGGGAATTCATTAGTAACACTGCTGGTGTGAAATTTGGACTAATCTGTTATGATTTCTTTATTTTTTCTTTTTCTGATCCAGGCTTCCACAATGTTAAGAGCATCTTTAGCCCCCGTGTAAGTATTAATTGCTGAGCTTCATTTATATCTATAGAGAAGAAGAGGAGGGGTTTGTAAACTGAAGTGCACTGCCAGTTGTCTGCAAATGGGAACCACTCATCCTCTGCGTGCTTCCTCCAGTCTCAGTGAACAGTATATGCAAATATGTGGTCTGCATTCTTCTGTCGAGCAGGTTCAGTAACATCCTAATTTCAGCAG